AAACCGCCCACCTTTTGGTTAGTAGCCCAGTGCTTAACAGGTTGCACCTTCAGGGACTCCCCTACTCACTTCAGGTCTCATTTAATGCTCATACCAATGCTGCGATTTGAGGTGGTATTCTCAGATGCCTTGCTCAAGGTCACTCAGATTGGAGGTGGCCCAGCTCCAGGGTCCACCCCCCTAACCACATCACAGCCACCACCTAGGCAAAGGAGTCTCAGGAAGAAGAGGCAGAGCCCGAGAGTCACCTCTCCTCTGGATACTGCAAATTGGAAAGCCAGCGTGCGGTGTCTTTGTATGCTATGCCTCTGAAACGGAGCAGGGTCCGCTCACATTTCAGGCAGAAGAGCTCGAGGCTCGAAGGGCATGGGAGTCACAGCGAACAAAATGCCCAGAAGATGGGTCACACACACTCGAGAGAGGACATTGTTTAGATTCTCTTGTGCACTCTGGGGCCGTGTTTTCTTCTTCTTTCTTTCCCCGGCAGAAGTGCTTAAGTTCAAAACAAGAGGAAAAAAAACGTCAAGCTGAGAAAATTGAACACTATTTAACAGTCCCAGAGAGTAGCGCTGCTGAATCTTAAAGTGCTCTACAAAATTAAGGTTCTAACAGGCTCAGATAAATTAATATGGGCGTAAGAGAAGGAAGACCTTGGTGCGAGCGGTAGTTCTCTTTGAATGTGCCAATAGAGCACACACCCTACAAGCCCTTGACCTCCCCTCTCTCCTGGTCCCAGCTGACCTCAGATGCATCTGCCGAGATGCGTCCAGCAATCCAGGAAACACAACAAGGCCAAACACAGTGATTTATTCACAAGTCACCCGGCCGGGCTTTTCCTATATATACACTGAATAACCCAGTTTTTACTAAACAGAAACGAACATTTATTCATTTAGAAAAAGCACAGGGATCGCGCCAAACAGTACATTATAAGGCCAATTCTTTTCAGAGGCTTACAATTCATTTTTAAAAAGCATGTGAGCAAAACTAAACGCTAGCATTTCCAGCAAAAATCACCCCCCCAAATTTCCGTTTCAAGCTCCTGTGAAGACATGAAGGGCCACAGGCCAATTGCACCCCCTCCACCTCACCCCCCTAACAGGACAGCGCTCTACTCCAGCGCTGAAGACATTTCCACCTGTGCCTCTGTGGCCTGCGAGCATGGCGCTTTCTTTCTTGTCTTGGCATGGGTGTCGTCTCTTAGGGAGAAAGAGGGAGAGGGAGTGGGACTAGGTACTCAGGTCACTCCCACATCGTCAGTGAGAACGGACTCAGTGTTGGGGTCACCTGTTGGGGTGGGTGTGGTCAGTGGTCAGTGACTCTCCATGACCTGCACCTGGACGCCAACCCCTGTCCCCACTGCGATGTACAGCGCAACCAGCCACCGCGGAGCCTAGTCTGACTCCGGGCGCCACATGTGTCTCCGAGGAGAACTCAGAGTTTTGACAGAGTTTCTCCGAGGCAGGTCGGCCAGCCTTTCTCCCAGGCCCAGTGGCCGAGTCTGGTACGCCTGAACCACACACAGCCTCTCAGGAGACCCGCTCATCACTGACAGGCATGGGCAGGGTTGCAAAGAACACGCGGAAATAGGAAGTATGCAAAAATGGAGGATGACTGCATCAACTCACCTGGGGCGGTGAACATCCTACTGGGTCCCTGCTGAGGGCACTTGCTATGCTGCCTCCTCTTCCTTCCCCACAGCACCTTCAGAGAGCTCAGCCCCCATCGCCATGCACAGGGGAGGGCTGCCCAGCCTTGCAGAGCCAGAGTGGCCCAGGCATGGCCTCCTCCCTACCCCAAGGGTCCCCTCCCACTGTATTCCAGGATGTCTAGTCTCAGCTCCTGCTCCTTATCACCCCAAATGCTCTCACTGCATGCTTATTTTGTCGGGGAAGGGGACTTTTCTCTGTGGGCACGAGGGCCTGGGTACACACTTCTCACTGGGCTCTCTGATGTCCACTGGGTCCTCTTGCTAGAGCATCCCCTGGCTCTCCCTGGGCAGCCTGCAACCCCCCAGTGAGAATGGGCAACTCAGAGCTCCTCAGAGGCCTGACCTCAGCCCTGGACCAGAAACTTCAACTTGCCACTCACCCTCTGACTCCACCTTCTCCCAGTTTACTTGCCTTGCCCTCTCCTGCGCCCCGCCAGGAGGGGCCACATTGAGAAAGCATAAGGAGCAGCACAGGTGCCAGTCAGCTGACCCGAACACCTAAGGGCAGGGCCCCATCTCAGGGCTCCTGGTCCAGCGCTGCAGCCCCGAGCATGGCCCATCTTCAGGACACTGGTTGCCACCACCCAGCCTCAGTCCCCTGTGGGCATCCAGGATCACTGGCAGTCTCTGGTCATTGCCAGCCCCACTCTAGTCCCTCCTCCGGTCTACCCTGGGGAGATGTGCCCCCTCTTCCTTCCTGGACTAAGAAATATGAGTTCATGGGAAAATGTCATTATCCTTCCATTTTATTTCCCCCCAACCATTATGAAGTCCCTTGAACCTAAAATACTATGTAATATAAACTTCTTTTCTACAGATACAGGGTCCCTGGGTCAGGGACCCCCTTAGGGACTTTGGCATTTGTTAGTGCCAGATGTGTGTTGTTACTGTGCAGAACAGTCAGCTGGTACTTTAGAAAAATCATTGTCTTAAATGTGGACCTTCAGAGATAACGCGAGATGCACTACGCCAGGCGCTGGCCCTAAGCTGTTTACTTCTTTTTAACAGGCTGAGCCCATCCATTCCAAAAGCCTGTCAGCTCAACCCCCACCCCCCCACCACCACCACCGCCAAAAACCCCCACTTCACTGCCATTAAGTCAACTGTGACTCGCAGCAACCCTATAGAACAGAGTAGACCTGCTCCTGTGCGTTTCTGAGACAGTAGCTCTTTATGAGAGTAGAAAGCCAAGATTTTCTCCCTCGGAGCAGCTGGTAGGTTCAGACTGCTGACCTTGTATTTAGCAGCCCAACACAAAACCACTATGCCACCAGGGCTCCTAAGCCTGTCAGAGTCAGGCTCAATTTTTTACACATCCAAGTTATTTTTAAACTAGCCCCAATAAGCAGATTGTTCTAAAGCTGGCCTCCTTTAGATACCCCAGGACACTGAGCCCAAGACCTCCAAGCCCGAGAGATGACAGGTATAGAAACTGCAAACTCTGCTGCCCTTGGGAATCCTCTGACCCAGAGGGGCCGGCCAGTCTCCCTGCAGGAGGACTTCACCTCTGTACATGGCAGTTTCCCTCACTGCTTCCCTCTCTCCTGGGGGTTTCCCGTGCCCTCTTCTTCTGGGGGCTCCTCCACTGCTTGTCTCGTTTTATCCTGGGATCACTCCCTCAATTCACTTGCACACTCGTCTCCGGCTTTGCTTTTAGATCGCCTGACCTGAGACACCTCCTCCACAGGGCCCCGATCTGCCTGCCTCACTCCCGCCTCCCCCGTAGCCCCCGGACCTTGGCACAGAAGTGCTTTGGTGCTCAGCCCACTTATGTCCCACATCCTTTCCAAAACAGAATCCCCTCACGGACCAGATGATGCATGAGCGAAAATGAATGTACAACACGGGCTTAGTTATTCAGAATCTTCCACCCACACAGTCCAAGAAGGCAGACTTCTGGGAAATGTTGATCCGAAAGCTAACGGCTACCTATTTGCCATGCCTCTGGAGGCAAAGACCTTCATCCCAGCTGGTACCCCGCGAGTTTATGGAGAGGGAACATGTAAAGGATTTATTTTTGTATAGATCATAAATGAGCTTTGTGTATAAAAATGGCATTACTGTACATCTTTCCAATTTTAATAGAGGTCCTCCCTCCCATCCTGGCCCTCCGCTGCCTCCTGTACTTTTACCTCCAAGTTCACGTTGAGACCTCAGTCCTCAACGCCACAGGGGCAGTACTGGCAGCTCATTCAAACCTGGATCCTCTTTTCTTACTCTTGCCCCCACACCACTGCCCCCAGGGAACGGAGCTGACCAACTAAATATGTTGGACGCATCTTTTTCTTTCCTTAGATCGAGGAGTCCTGATGGCGTAGTGGTAACACATTGGGCTTCTAACCCCATGAGGTCAGCAGTTCAAAACCACCAGCCACTCCAAGGGAGAAAGACCGAGCTCTTTACTTCCATAAAGAGTTAAAGTATCGGAAACTCACAGGGGCAGTTCTATCCTGCCCCAAAGGGTTACTATGGGTCGGCACCAACTTGATGGCATTGAGTTTGGGTTTTCCTTATATTTTCTCACATATTTTTACCTCTCTCCCTCTTTCATTTCATTTCTTTTCTTTTTAAATCCTTAAAGCTCATCCTCTTTCTTCTTGCGCTCCCTAGTCTGTCTTGGTCTGGATACTGTGCTGAAGCCTGCGCACCACAGGTGACCCTGCTGGTCTTTGAAATCACCTGCGGCACGGCTGTCAGCAGTGTCGTCACATGCTGGCCACCAGTGTGTGACAAACTGACAGACCAGAAGAAAGGCCTGGTGACCGGGTTCTGAGTTTAGCCAAGGAAATCTCTGCGGATCCACACAGCTGACTGTCTGGTATACTGCGAAAAGGCAAGGCCCCTAGGTTTGGAAGCTACTCCATGCACACAGTGCTCCAACAGCGCAGCACACCAAGTCTTGTGCAGATGACACAGAGCCAGGCAACTGAGTATTCTACGCACAGGATGGCCACGTGTGGGAGCCCACTCCACAGCAGCTAACCACAAGAGCCTGTGCATGTGCCGCGCTCTGGGCACACCCATTCTGGGACCTACTGACTGGTTCAGAGGGTGGAAGACGACAGCCCCTAGGCCATGTCAAGTCCGCTGTCTGCTTTTGTAAATACAGCGTTCTGGGAACATAGCCATGATGGATCATGTGCACGTTATCCAGACTTGCTTTTATCTTACACCGGCAATGTCAAGTTGCTGTCATTATAAAAAAACAAAGACCCACACAGCCAAAAAACCAATATTACCCTTACAGAGGAGGGTGACTGACTCTTGAACTAGCTTCTCCTACTGGTGGCCTTCCACTGGAGGTCCGACGGAGTCGGGACTCAGGTGGTAGCCTCTGCTCCGGGGACATCAGCCATGCTCAACTCTCCTCACAGTGCCCGTTCTGGCTTCCCAACAAGTCAACCCCCCCGGGCTTTAGATCAGCCTCTCACAACTGAATGGAAGCTGGCTTTGAGTTTCCTCCTGAGGCCCCACTTCCTCTAGCCCCCACAAAATTTGGTTCACCAGAACAACTGGGTAATTTCAAGATGCACAGCTGTTAGAAACCAGGGTTATGCTTGAAATAGGACAGGGTGGTCAGAGCAGGCAGAGAGAAGGCCCCCGACGAGGCATCGGGGTTCTCCACGGACTCCTCAGGAAAGAGCACAGCAGGGTCCAGTCCTGCTTAACATAGGCACACTAAGTCCATGCGATGTCCTTTTGGGTCTAGGTGTTTAAGAATGAGGGAGAGGAGCATCAACTAGCCACGAAAAGAGGCCAAGCAGGAAAGGAGCTAAGACATATGCCCTCCACAACTCATACAAATCCTGCTGTCAAGGGGAATACTTTCTGCAAAGACTGGCCCACAAATGCTTCCTAAGCAGTCTAGTTACAGCCATCCCTCGGACCACTCACTAGTCCTTTATTCAGCTCACGGCACTCAGCACCATCGAATAGCATATCCTACAACAATTCATTTCTGGTCTGCTCCCTCAACCAGTTTGCAAACTCTCTGAGGGCAGAGGTCACCTGTATGGGTCAGGTCTCTCTTCCCTGATCTAGAACGGCACCTGCACCCAGGAGTTCAACCAGAAAATGAGAGGCACTAGAGAGGAGCCTGAGCTCTGCCAATGGGCTTCAAAGCAGCTTGCATCAGCCCCACGGTGGCTCACTGATCACCTCGACAACCCGGACGCCAATGTTTGACTGTGCTTCCAAATCATCTAAGAGACAGGTGCACCCATTCAGGGCGTGTTTCTCAACTCCTACGGAATGCACAACACTGAGCGAGGCCGTGTGGGGATAGCAGGCAATCGGGCCGCTGTCCTCTCCATGGGTACCACGCCGTGGGGATGGCAAAAAGCCACGTGGAGGATAGTACCTGGATCCAGTGCCGCTCCTTCGAGGGTGATGATGCAGAACAATTTGATCCGATCTCCCCGGATGACCGATGGTGTGGCCGAATGCACAGAGACGTTGAATACAGGACCTGGAAGGAAACCATGCCAGCCTCGTCGTTATTCCCTTCCACGTTTTGGTCCAATAACCTGTTCTTAACACTCTTAACGGGCATCTAAACGTGGCTCTCTTTCTTTCGAGCAGGTCTAGAAACGCACCAGATAGATGGTGTTCTACAGAGAGACACTTATACAATAAGTCGCAGTCAAATGAAATATATCTTAAGACTATAACTAAAGCGGAATGCGTCTTAAAGAGCTACGGTTGTGTCGCTGGCTTTTCCTTGACCTCCTCTCCTTTGGAACCCCCAAAGGGGGTTGTTAGTGTAGGTTGCTTCTACCTTAGCGTGTCTCACTTTTAGGTCAAGGTGGCCTGGAGATTCAGAATGCTTGGGGCGGACAGTAGGAGACGGAAGCTCAATGAGGACAGACACACGCTCACAATGACTATGGTGGGGACCTTGAAGGCCCAGCTCCAGCCAGCCAGGGGGAGCAATGCATCCCAGATATCCCTTTGAAAAGGGCTCAGGAAGAATTTGCCCTGTACACCTCCCTGAGAATACTCCACACCATAGTATCCACTCTGCTTTTACGTGAGACCACTCTCCTTCTCCCAAAGGCAGCTCCCCGTATTCACTACAAGGCAGAGGTGCCCCCCTCTAAGTTTTTGACCTAGAAGGTAATGGGTATACACGTAAGCACCATGCTCAGAGCTCTGAAGACTGAGTGCGTTTCAGAGAACTGAGTGCTAGAATTTAATGGCACAGACCGCAGAGTCCATGGCACATTTGACCACAGGCATACATATCATTGTGCTATCTGATTACTAAACACAAAGAAGTGCCTCATTAAATGAGAAGAAGTATGAATTCCATAAGGAACCCTGGCAGTGCTGTAAGTCAGACGCTGGACTGCCAATCACCAGGTTGGTGGTTCAAACCCGCCAGCTGTTCTATGGGAGAAAGAGGAGGCTGTCTGCTCCTGTAAAGATTCACGCTCTCAGAAACCTTGCATAGGGTCGCTGTGGGTCAGCATTTGACTGGACAGCAGCAAGTGCTGTTGCTGTTGTTTTTACATCTCCTGCATAGCGATGGTAGGGAGGCGAGCAGAGCCTCACCTCCATGTACATCAGGTCACTATGAGTTGAGCAACAACATCTCTGTCGACAGAGGAAGGTTCTAGTTATTGGCTCCTTGAGGTAGTTGGATTATTGTGCCCACCTGGCTGATAAACACATGTGGGGTTAATTGAAGGATGGAGGGATAAATGGCTCAGTGAGCCTCACCTTTCTAGTTCTGGGGTCTCTTGCTTTGTGATGGTCG